TGGAGAACGAGGCCATCTGCAATTAGACATAATTCAAATTAATAAGCATCATCAATATTTTTGCACAGCTGTATATGGGCTTCCCCTTTTAAGGGAACTCCACAAGAAGACTCCACGCTTTCAGAGCGCAAACGATTGATACTACGTTGAATTACATAATTTCGTTGCTGCCTATTATCTGCATGGAATTGTTCTTTCGTTGACATTATCCACGTGATGTGAAAAACTGGAAAAATTTTGCAAATTGGACATGCTGAGGTTCAGGATCACGAACAGTGAATAAAGGGGATGGACGCCCTTGCCCTGCAGTAGCAGGGTCTTGATGCCTAGATGAGTTAAGATTGTCTACCAACCTAGCCTCCAAATGAGCGTGTAGTTATGGAAGTCCTTATTCCAGTTCTCAATGCCAATGTTCTTCTTAAGAAGCTTGGTCCTGAAGGGCTCAGCATCAGACAGAATGGGCCCTCCGTACAGTTCCTTTCCGTATTCTGGGTTGCCTCTGTTGAATGCTATGCGCATCAAACCAGATTCGTAGCGCCTGGAGCCGTAGTAGTTGGCCACGGGTTCCAAGTTGATTTCTGGAAGAGGAGAATAGTATTTTACGTAGTGAAAAGACTGAACTTGTTGATTAAAATCTATAGATCTATATCTTGTTTCCGGCGGGCGCTACTACCGAGCGCGAGCATCTGTCGGACTTCCGATGATGGTGCACTTATTACATCGAAACGTAGCGTCGAGACTCGATAAGCCTCGACTTGAAACAACAAGGTTAGTCTTTTCCTACATAAAACATGAGTTACCCTTGGACATATAAGGTCCTATTAAATTCACTGCAAATATTTTAGGGGCAGATCAAATAAAATATGAGCATGTACTAGGCAATTTTTTAAAGAAATCTACACGCTAGTTTTCGAGAAAACTGCAATTAACTAAAAAAAAACGAAACGCAAAAAGTGCACCCTGTTTGTCCTAGAAACACACACTTCGATGAATTTAAATTACGCGCCAAACGCGCCGTGCTGTGATTGGTTGGTTGTTAGTGTGCGTGCCGTGTAAGTGAATCATGTTTACATGGCGGAACGTCAGTCGGGTCAGTCAAAGGGTGTTCACATAATTAATTCAAAAGTTTGTTTGAAAATGAAAAAAAAAATCTAGCGTGAAGATTTTTTTTTAAAATGCCTTAGATGTTTTTCTTATACATATTTACGCATGCCCTTAAAATATTTGCAGTGAATTTAATAGGACCTTATATTTTAATAATTTTATAGGGTAATACGGGGTGTTAGGGACGGTGTAACGAAAACTTTGCAGGCGTGCTCAGACCATGAAACTGAACAACTTTTACTATTGATCAAATAGTGGGAAACGAAAAAAAAATCCGACCTCCCATACAAAGTCAGTCAGCTGATCGTGAACTTTGTATGGGAGGTCGGAAAATTTTTTTCGTTTCCCACCATTGGCTCCATAGTAAAAGTTGTTCAGTTTGATAGTCTGATCATGCCTGCAAAGTTTTCGGTACACCGTCCCTAACACCCTGTATAGTAATAAAACATTAAACACTTGCGGTGATTTGCGGAAAACTTCGTGACAGAATTTTGAGTGGCATACCTAAGCATGACATTAATATTTTATCCGTATTGAAAATTATTCAGTACCACCGTTGGTACCACCCTTCAATAATTTTATTACTGCGAAGATGTCTTCTCGCTTCAGATAACTGCATTATTGAAAGTCTAGACATCTATGACAGATAACTTGACCGTGCCATTACGAATTCCAGACGACAAAGCTTCTGCTTAACACTATCTCCACCAACTTAATACGATTAAATCTTCCAGTAAGATTATCTTGAACAAGAAATCCAAGTTGCAGATTTCGTACAGACAGATTTATTGTGCTGGACTTGTATTTCGCGAATGTCTAGACAAAAAGTGATGTCATGATTAACTACTTTTGCTAGTGATATGCAAAGTAGGTAGGTAAGCTGCTCTATCCCATTTTTCGTGTGGTAATAGAGTAGGACCTAGGTTTAGCGAAAAAGTTTCAAAAATGACATATTGCCCAGAAAATCTTTGATGTCATAATATTTATATTCAATCAAACCGAATTTCATTTACATTTTCGTAGATGTTTCCGATGATTTCGTAGTGTCCGTAGATGAGATTTGACAAGCTCTGTTACTTTTTGTAATTTCGTTGGTGTTATTATCCACTCTTATAATATAAATCTCGTCTAGCTTTGAACTACAAAATAAGCCGGAGCTTGCTGAAGCGAAATAAGCCTCTAATTCTCACTAAGGACCGGTCTAGCTCCGGTCAGTAACCTGAGGTTTATTGTCCACGCGTGATAGGTAGATACTTACTTCCATCCAGTTGGTAAGTACTAGTCAAAATAAAAGTTCAAGACGTGTTTATTATCCACTAGCCTTCGATGTTGAACCTTTCTTAGGTTTTATGTCGTGTTTCCATTTGCTGTTTTATGAAATAGCTGTCAAGAGTCGTATGGGGGTGGACAGTGTAGGTACTAAAAAAACATTGCAGACAGAATCAGTACCTATATAGGTAGATATGTACCTACATAAAACCGAAAGACTTTTTTCAAAGAAAACGCTAGGTTGACGGCCGATGTGGCGAAGTGGTAGTGCAACTGCCTGCGATGCAAAAGATTCCGGGTTCGTTTTTTAGTGGGTTTCTCGCAAAGTTGATATTTATTATTTTATGAATTTGTTCTTAGTCTAAGACATTGAGCCGTCGGTCCCAGAGGTCTGATACTTGTAGTAGGCGGTTAAAAAACTGCGAAACCAGGGTTCATCGGGTTGTTGGATGACTCGGTGGCCCACTCGGAATTATGAGGATTATGATGTTGGCTTTATTAGGTAAAACTTATATATCTACCTGGTATCAACCAGCTTCCAGCAGGCAGTTTGGCCCTGACTTCGATCCTGCCGAACTTGAAGTTGAACTTGTTCTTCGTGGTGATCTTCCCGGTCACGACCGGCGGCAGAATCTGAGCTCCGGACGCTACCCGCTTGCATTGCGTCGTGTCTACTGTTCCGGTGCAACTGAAATCAAACATTGGAGGTTAACAGATACATTTGACGAGGTACCTATAACGTTGACACAGTATCTTATTTTTTACTTGCAAAGTTTTCACTGCAAGAAGGAAGCAAAACTTTTCAAGTTTTCAAAAATTGTATCCTTAAACGGGAAGAGGTTAAAAAAGTTGGTGTGAAATTCAGCTTTTAGTGATTTACCCAAGGCTACGTGATGGATGATAGTCTTGACTATGAAAGAGGTTGATAGGTACGATCCGTAAGATGGGTTTGCACTAAAAACCTTGTTATCTTGTTATGACCCGTTGTTCCCGGTGTCCTACTGAATGAAAAGGAATACTGAATGAATCTAGGTTATGGGCAACAGAGTTTTATTCGGCGTTTCTTCTGCAGTGAATGGTTGTGGCAGCTGACGATCTAATATTGTGCAAGAATGTTAGTGCTGCTCGGTTCTCGGTTATATCTAGCCTAAGTTGTAAATAAGTACCTAGTGTTTACTTACGTGTTAGTCAAATCCAAAGATTCAGAGATGATTCCATCGTGGTACTGTGATTCCAACAAAGTGGGTGTAATGATAAGGCTGCCGTCTTCCAGTTTCAATGACTCTTTCATGTAAACGCTGAATGGGTAGTCCTGAAACAAAAAAAAGTATGTAGCTTTAATTTCTTGTGCGGAAAATGATTCAAGATATTAATCACATTTAACAAATAGGCAGGTTTTTGTGGTTTTATCCGGGCTTTAGCCTGCCGGGCCTTCCTGGCTGACTCCACGGGAACCAGCCAGGAAGACCGAGAGGGTGGCGCGGGTCTTGGGCAGCCCTGCGTTTTCCATAATTTGCGTCCCAGGCAACGCAGTGTCTGAGGTGAGCGTGCAAATAGCCGTGCTTATACAACCATGCAAAATCTTGCCTCAGACACTGAATAAATCGTCTGACACGGACGTATGAGGCCAATGATGATGATGATGAGCCTGTGGGGATGCTGATTCCTTTTCTTTTCTATTTTAAAAGTTATACAGAAAAAATATGCTGCACTCACCGGTTCCTCAACAAACTTGACTTCCGGCTCCCAATTGACCAGATCCTTCAACCCCGCCTTCTCAAACTCCTCACTGAACAGCAGCGTTCCCTTGCAGATGTTGTTCCTTCCCTGCACAACTGTGAGGGACAGTTGGCATGGTGCATGGTGGGTTGTTATGTCTGGTCTGTCAGGCCTACTTGTTGCTGGACCTGGAGTTGGAACCAGGCTCGTGTCTGCTGGGGTGCCGTCTTCGTTCACGAATTCTGGAAAAGGTTTGTCATATGTATTAAGTTCTATCAAGACAATTATAAATAAGACATTGTGTCCTCGAGGGCTACTTTTATTGTGACTTCTTTGTCACTAGATTTATAGTAATTTCCAAATGGTGCCTTATGCTGCCGTATTAAAGCCACTTTCATCAACTACAATAGTCACTATTTGCCATATAAACTACCACTAGTGACAAGATTATACGACAAGTAATCGATTAAGACATTAATTGATCGATACTACAATAACATCACAATAGCTTGCACCATTAGTTATTATAATTTTATTTATCTTACCAGTGACAGTCCACTCCCCATTATCCTGCCTGTAACCCAGCCCGTCTTTGATAACGTACGTCCAGAAGTAGATCTTGTCCCCGATCTGCAGTTTGGCATCCCTGTCCCTGAAGATCCACTTCCCCTCCTTGGGCTTGGTGATGTCTCGTGCCCATTGACCAGCCTCCAGACCGTCCATTTCTTCGTTCAGCTTGCCGTGGAAGGCGAATAGGGAGAAGCCATCGTCTGGAAAATTGTGATGCATTTTCTAAAGATGAATTCAATTACACCACTGGTGGACCGAGCTCGCTCGGTTTTTGTTTTTATGCGTTAGTTTCAAAACAACTTACAATCATATTACAGATGTCGATGTTAGTTTTAAAAGAATTTACAGTGGTTAGTACGACTGCATACGACGCAGAAGGTACCGGGTTCAATTCCCGGTGGAGTCACTCACATAATTGATATTTATCAGTAATCGAATTGAATCCCATTTAAAGATTGTCATATTTTTAATGTAGGTACAATCTAAATGCATTTTCCATTATTTAATCGGACGCTCAAAAATTAAAATTAAACATTCTTGTTTCTTTACTAACGAGTAGGTAACAACCTTTTAATTATTCAGATAATAATGAAGTTTCGCTAACAAGTTTTGCTTAATACAGTTTTTTCTTTTTAATTTCATTTAGGAGAATTTTTAAGTCTACGTCACGGATTTTCAAAAAATATTATTTATTCAGAGCTGAACTAGACTTTATCTAAGGCGTACAGTACCTAAAGTTCTTCATTTACACGAGCTAACTAGTTCAGACAAAAAACGTCACCATGGATAAGTAGCTTGGTAAATTTGTTCCAGACGAAATTATCTAAAAACCTGTTTCATTCCGGTTCAAATTAAGTAATGTAGCATGGTCGTATTGGACGTCACGATAATTATAGTTCACTGCCTCCCAACTTGCTATTTAACTGTAGTTCTTTGCTATGAGACCTTCGGAGATGGGTCGTTGACTTTGGGAACACTGTAGCAGATAATTTAGTTAAACTGAAATAAAATTCTTACATAATCAACTTCTGAATGGGCAGTGACTTACAAATAAGTAACTACTTATTTCTCTTTCGGTCAATGGTTCAAAATTGACAGAGAAAAATAATAATTGCTTTATTTTTTACAGCATACAAAATGTAATGTTAGTTATAGGTTGAGATTGAGTGAGAAAGGTAGCGCAATACAACTATCATTATGTCGGCGAATGCAGCGAATGGCCGTCTCAATACTAGTAGGTATTGTTATGTTAAGGTTTAAATGAACATCTTATTTATATTTATTTTAAAGGACGAACAGGAAAATATTAAAACGATTATTATAGAAGTTGCCATACAAGGAAAACAATTTAATGTGTATGTTTACGTAAATGTCATCTCATCTGTATCAAAGATTTTGAAATCCTAACGTGGATGTATTCATTCATGTGACGTCAAAGATTTCCCAACTAAGTATACAGGGAGTAACGGAAAGGGTATAACAAGCCGAAAGAAGGTCAAGGTACTCATGAAACTGAACAACTTTCCACATGGAACATGGGCCGAAACATGAAAAAAAATTGGACCTTCCACACAATATCGCCGATCAGCTAATTGATTTACCAAAATTTTTTTTTTTCATATTTCGACCCATGTTCCATGGGGAATGTTGTTCAGTTTCGTGAGTACCTTGACCTCCTTTCGACTTGTTATACCCTTTCCGTTACTCCCGGTATTTATATTTCATACAGACTGAATCTTCCGCAAATGATTCGGGCTAAAATTAGGTAAGGGATGTAAGAGAGAGCCGACTCCGAACAGGGTAGGTACATTCAGACCATGACTCTGAACAACTTCCTATAAAAAAATATTTCTGGAGAAATAAATTAAACAAACTTGACTCCCCGTAGTAAATGCAGTACTCTGTCGTGTTGGTTTCGTTAAAAAAATACTGGCAAGTGTAGGTATGCAAATTTTGATACTGTTCCCAACAAAAACAGTCCTTTTTTGGTGATTCGCAAAGTGCCATGAGCAGTCCTTTGGGTACGTAACACCAACTTTGTTGTTGACAAGATAAGGGTCGGTCGAGGATATCGTTATCATAGGTTCTGTGAGTATGTTGACAGCTGATGTGGCGCAGTGGTTAGTATGCCTGCCTGCCACGCAAAGATTCCGGGTTCAATTCCCGGTGGGGTCATTCTCAAAGTTGATATTTATTATCACTTTGTGAATTTGTTCCCAGTCTGGTTAGGACATTGCAGGCTGAACCACCTGATTGTCCGCAAGTAAGATGGTTCCGTGCTTCGGATGGACACGTTAAGCCGTCGATTCCGGTTGCTGTCTATGATGGCGGTTGTTACACAACCATGTCAGAGGCCTGCTACTTGCAGTAGGCGGTTGAAAAACTCTGAAACCAGAGTTCATCGGTCCAGTGTCCCACACGAAAAAACAGAAGAGTATGTTAAAATGTCAAGAAGCACGAATACGAGTTAGTACTTATACTGTAGGTACTGTATGTAGATACTTAATCAAGAGGCTGCGTTTTAGTAACTTTAAAATCAGAGTTGCACTGTTCGATACAATTCACTTTTTTAATTTAACGAGTCAACTCACGTTTTCACCTTTTACATTCGGATTAAGATTCCACGCAAGTGTTTTTTTTTATATTTTATAGATTTTATACCAATCGTTTCGGCAAATGATCTGAAGTTGAGATTGTGAACTTAAGGTGGTTCGTCTTCCATACAAAAGTTAAATGGAGTTACGTCTTTAACTGAGACAAAAATATGATTAAAAAACTTGATGGGAAGTCCCGTGCTTCTATAACATTGTCGCAAAATAAAACAAATATTTTTTTAACCATCAGATTTCACTGTAAAAACCGTTTCGCCACTTTATGAATATAGATGGAGCTACTGCTGCAATAAACACGTTTAATTTTTTTGTGGAGAAAATACATAATATTTTTTTACCATAAACAGTTTTGCGACAAATTCACGTGTGCCTTCATCATTTTACATAAACCTTTTTGGTAAAATTGTTGTTAAGCTCATGTTTAACTCTGTTGAAGTTCAGATTTACGTTTGTATGGCGTGACGTCTCACCTTAAGGCACCCCCGTACAATGATGTTTAAAGGGTGCGTTTTGAATTAAGATTTTATTATGTAAAATTATTGGGAATCCCGTTAATCTTAAGTTATTGTAACCTCTGCCATCATTATCAACATCAATTAAAGATACATTCTTGGATAAGCAATAAATAATAATAAAATTTTGTCATTTTCCTTGTATTTTGTCAACAATGTCTCATTATAGGATTCCTTTGATACCATTGCATGTTACTCTTTATTAACTTTATAAGAACGGTTTATCTTCTAAATTGAAAGATCAGTTTCTTAGCATTGTTTGTTTTAATATTGATCCCAAACAGAATAGTTTCTCAAACTTGCTGTGTTTCTTTGAGAACATGTAAATTATTAACATCTTGCGAAAAGCTCGCGCCCGAGCTTGCATAAATTAAAAGCTTAATAGTCGAAGGCTTCTTGGGTCAAAAACCTTAGGGTCAATAATCTATGGCAAAGACTCACCAGGTACAGTAACCCTTAGTCCTTTAGGGTATATGGCTTCTAGTTTGGCTGGTGGTACTTGGTACTGGAGGCCTCTCGCGTGCTGGGCTACCGTGACGGTGGCGAGGGTGAATAAATAGAGGTACGTTTGGAGCGCCATGACGTCTGCTCTGCGTGACGGTCGCCGGCAGACTGGCGGTCAACAGCTACTACCGGTCTGCGTATGCGCATCTGCATGTGATAAAAAGGTTGTTAAAGTATGGTCACTCGAGTAACTCCTTTTTGACAGCTGCCATCCCCACACTAGAAAACATGTCATCCATGAAAAACTTTGACATAACTTTTTCCATAACACTAAATTCTAACAGCTGTCAAAAAGGACTTATTCGAGGGGCCACTTTAGGTGAATTGGAAGTGTACCTACAGGTATCAGCAGCAGATGATACTTTTGTCGTGGTATGTCTTTAGCTCACAATTACTGTACTTGCCGAAGGGTAAATCAGTCTTTAGGGTTATGGCAGGAATATAGTGATAAACCTACACTCACAAAGAAATTGCAAAAACATTAGGTACAGAAATTTTACCGCATTGTGATGTTTGGAAATATTTTTTCCATTCAATATTTTGCCGTTCGAAAGGCCATATTTGACAGCTGTCAAAACAATACTAATAGACCTTATTAACATGATTTTAACAGTTGTCAAATATGGCCTATTCGAACGGTTGTAAGTAGGTAATCTAAACTCAACTGTGCGGTGATTAGTCGGTACCTAACTCAAGAATACTGAACTTACAGTTATTGAATATTCTGAACAAAATGTTTACCTAGATACGCTAAAGTTCGGTCAGTATATCAAGTACAAAATCACCTAAGCGGCTTGGTAAAATGTTCTCCAGCAGGGTGACTTAAATAAGGCTTTAATTAAGTTGACACTTTCCAACCCTGCTTTAGTGTTGCCGTAGTATCGATAGTACCTACTGTCGTCGATAGTTTTTATTCGAAAATCCCTATACAATCGATAGATATAAATAAAACTTTTTAAGCACTCGCGCTTACTTTCACACTTTAACTGGTCTTATCGCGATAGTTTTGTGCAAATAAGCCTAATTAACTTACGGGAACCCGATGTTTCAACAGAGTTTCATCAGTCATGGTCGCGGGCAGATACCTAAAGATGGTTCAATCCGTAACAATACTATTGAAAATGTGCAATACCTACTATCGATAGTATCGTTTTAAAAACAATCGATAGTATTGCTGCAATTTTAAAAACCGAAATTTTTTTTGCTAGTCTATTGCTTTTCGATATTATACAGGGAGTAACAAAAAGGGTATTACAAGCCGAAAGGAGGTAAAGGTACTCATGAAACTGAACAACTTTCCCCATGGAACATGGGTCGAAAGATGAAAAAAAAAAATTGTGCCTCCCATAGTAAATCAGTCAGCTGCTGATCGGCGATTTTGTTTGGGAGGTCAAATTTTTTTTTCATATTTCGACCCATGTTCCATAGGGAAAGTTGTTTAGTTACTTGAGTACCTTCACCTCCTTTCGGCTTGTAATACCCTTTCTGTTACTCTCGGTATAGCGTGAATGAACTAGGTATCGATAGAATATCGATAGGTATTCTATCGATACTTTCGAGCGGCAACTCTACCGTTCCTGTGCAGTATACAGGTTACCGGGAGGTCGTTAGTCATTCGTTAGTGCTTAAAATACTAGGTTAGATACCTATATATTTTACACTTTAATGAGGAAACCAAAGTTTTAAGAGGCTACTATACCGAGCTGGAAGTTCGTGAGCTGTCAGTTGATAAAAATATTTCTATCTCATTTATGAAACCCACCCGTCCCGCAGCCGTA